ACAAAACCACCTTCCTCAGTTCCTTTGCTTAAATTTTTTCCCCTCAAATCTCATTTTAAGAGGAAAACACACATAAACACAGAAAGAAAATATGGCCAAACCCTCTGGGAAGGTTAACATTTTATGCTAATTGGTCTCTGAAATGACCTTATAGAGAATGGAATTTCTAGAAAGTTATTATTTGTAAGAATAAGGTATCCAGGAATAAAAGTTTGTAAGATTGCTTGCAGAGTCAGTTAAGGGTAGAGACAAAGTTTATGGTTGTTCCTTCTTAGAAAATGAGCCAACTCCCAAGGTAATGCCTATCTGCCAGCATAATGCAGAAATACAAAAATTTAATGTAAACCAAACCTTCCCTCACTATGGAGCACAATCTTAATAATTCCTACGAAATCAGTTCACCATAATTTCAGTTTCAGTAACAGTTGAAAAGATCAGAGAGATATAAATATATTATCAAATCTGAAAAGCAGAAAACCAATAGACTGGAATCTCACCAAGTTCCTCCCTATTACATCCTAAAAAGAAGACAAAATAAAATCTCAAATCTTCTCAGGTATTGATATTCTACCAAAAAAGATAATTTGGGAATAGTTATGATTAGGCAATATATGCTCAGTCCTGAATCCATGACCTCTCTGCCAGTAAAAGCATTTGGGAAACTGGGAATGCAGAGACAACAGTCGCTTTTTGTCATTATCAGGTAGATTTCCAAACTTTATAATTAATGTAGACAGTGATGAGTAAAGCAATACCTTTTCTTGCTCCTTCTGCCTCCATTTCTTTAAGCAAACCCTGGTCTAGACATCAAAACTTTGTTTCCAAAGAAAAAAAGTCCAGGGGTAAGCTTGAGCAAGAGCTCACATTACACACAAAAGGCAATGTCCTGTGGTAAGTCTTCTTTCTGTTCACCACGACATCCACTCTCATGTTGTTGTATTCTATTTCATGCTTTTTTGATTGTCATCAATCAGTAGGACAATTCTATTCTTTGTTGGATAACTGGTCTATGCTTCCAAAAGTGAACAACAGCTCACTGAAATAGAAACTGCAGCAGTTGAGAACCAGGTCACAGATGTGAATGAGACAAAGTGAGAAATGGCTCTGAAGCTTAACAAGCCAAGAAATACTAGATGCAGGTGATGCAGAACAGGCAGAAGGACACAGTAAGGATAACAAAGCTTCACACTCAAAAGAGTGGAAAGATCAAACTGAAGAAATAAAAAACATTTTTAAAGAAACTAAGTTTTTTTACTTTTTTTTTTTTTGCGGTACACGGGCCTCTCACTGCTGTGGCCTCTCCCGTTGCGGAGCACAGGCTCCGGACGCGCAGGCTCAGTGGCCATGGCTCACGCGCCCAGCCACTCCGCGGCATGTGGGATCTTCCCGGACCAGGGCACGAACGCGTGTCCCCTGCATCGGCAGGTGGACTCTCAACCACTGCGCCACCAGGGAAGCCCCAGTTTTTTATACTTTTAAAAACAATTAGTATACGATTTATGTGCAAAAAAACAAACAAAAAAAATCTTCTGAGTCACAATAGCCAATCACAATCTGTGCTTAGGCATTAGAATTAGCACAGAGAGTTCCCTGTCAGGTATTCTTTTACAACTAGATTAAAATCTTCTATAATCAGAAAATCAATTTTGATATGGAAATGGATGTCAAATGGAGTTTTTTTAAGGATTTAAAGACATTTAAATCAACTAAACATCTCACACTTATTCCCTTTCTAAATTTTTCTCCCTTCTTTTCATAAAAAAAAAAATAGAAGGTTAACAAGGGAAAGGGGCTCTGCATTATGAAATCTGAGACTACACCTGGGATAAGAAGCATTCCAAAAGATTTCAAAAGAGAAGAAACATTTTTTAAATGGCAGAGACAATTATTTTGTAATATGCATATACTTGATTTTTGGCTCTTTACCTACATATAAAGTTAAAATTGTATCAGCACCAGGAGTTCCTAAAGACTAAACCAAAAATGTTTACTATAGTAGTCCCAATGAAAAAGATCCTACCCCACCCACCAATGTCAAACCAAAAAACCTAAGCATCACCCTGATTCCTCCTTTTCCCTTACCTTCCATTTCCTCCCATCAAGTTGTCTCAGTTTTACTTCCAAAATATTTCCAAATCATCTGTTCATCTCTTCTGCCACTGGGCAGTCCAATCCATCTTCATTTTTTATTAAACTTCTACAACAGCCTCCTAGCTGATCTCCTGGTTTCTATTCTTGTCCTCCTCTTACTCCATCTCCATAAAACATCACACATGATCTTCTTAGATCTCATCATGCCATTCTTCTACTAAAACCTTTACACTCTTTCCATTTCACCCAAAATAAAATTCAGACTCCTCTCTGTGACCCTCCATGACCTAGATTGTGCAAGCTCACCTTACATCACTCTTCCTCTCCATCACACTCCAGATATACCTATGTTTTTGACCCTCGCGTAAGTCACGCTCTCTCCTACTTCACAGACTTTGCATTTTCCGTTCTTTCTTCTTGGAATTTTTTTTTTTTTAATTTGAAGAACACACTGATGGAAAAAATTCTAACAATACCAAAAAAAAGCACATGGAAAGAAACGACTACTTAAAATTCCAACACCTGAGAAAATTACCATTATTATTTTGAGGATAATCCTTTCCTATATCTCTCTATGGATATATGTGCTATTACACACTGTATATATAAATACTCTTCCATATATTCCAACTCCTTCCATACTGGTTCTTTCTCATACTTTAGTTCTCAATTCAAATACTTCCTCAAAAGAGGCCTTCCAGGACCATCCTAAAGCATCCTATTCTTCTCTATCACATCACCTGTTTATTTTCTTCATTGCACTTATCTCTCTCTAAATTAACTATGTTTGTTTACTTGTCTCGTTTTTTGTCTGTCCAATCCCAACTGAATGTAAGCTCCCTACTTTCTCAATCACAACAGGCTAGCCCAAAACCTAACACAGGTGCCAAATATCTACTGAATGAACAGATGATGGCTTTGACTAATATTTATAAGCTGCCAAATCCTAAATTTATATCTCCCATTCAAATTTCTCTCCTGAGCTTCATAGTCATACTTAACCATCCCACTTGGCAGCTCTATCTGGATAGACCATAGGTATTTTGGTCTCAGTGGGTCAACTACCTGCTCCTCCTCATGTTGTTCCCTATTTAGATGAATGATGCTACCATCAACCAAATTTCCCAAGCCATGAACTTGAATTTTATCCTTGATGCAATTCTTCCTCTTCACCCCACATTTAACCAATCACCAAGAGCCTCTCCATATTACCTCAATTCTACCTCTTAAATCTCTTCAACCCATCCACTTCATTCAGCCCATCTGTTTCTCTTCAATGCTGCGACCACCACTCAAGTGCAAATCACCATCAATCGTTTCTCCCCTAGACAACTACAATAACCTTCTAACTTGCTGCTCCAGATCCATTCTTACTCCCCTCTAATTTACTCTCCATGCTGTAGCCTCAGTGGTATCTTCAAGATGATATGATCATGTCATACTCCTTAAAAATCTTCAGTGGCTTCCCACTATTCTTAGATTAAAACCTAAAATCCTTATCATGGACTATAAGGCCCACAAGAAATATCCTTCGTCTAACTATCCAGACTTTTCTCCATAATCCAGTCTTTGGCCTTCTTTCAATTCTTTAAACCTACCATGCTCTATCCTCCTTCAGAGTCTTCAAATATGCTCTTCCTTCTGCCTAAAACACTACCTACCATGTCACACCACCCTTGCTACACATAACTCATCCTTCAGGTCTCAAACTCAAAAATCACTTCCTCAGGAAGACTGTGGTAGGCAGAATTCTAAAGATATCCCCCTCTCTCTCCCCAAGATTTCCATTCTCTGGTTATATTATCAAACAGTAATCTAGGTACTACTATGAAGGGACTTTGCAGATATAATTACTACTCAGTTGATTTTAAGATAGGCAGATTAACCTAGATTATCCTGGTGGGTCTAATACCATCAGTTAAGCCCTTATAAACAGAGGTTTCTCTCAGCCAAGGGCAAAATAGGAAATCAGAGAGATACAGCAGAAGTCAGCCAACACCCTGTTTGAGCCTGGAAGCAGATTCTCCGCCCCCAGAGACTCCAGGCCAGCTAATAACTATGATTTAAGCCTGCAAGACCCTAAGCAAAAAACCCAGTCAAACTACCTGGACTTCTGACCTCCACACCTGTGATATAATAAATGGGTGTTAAGTCACTAAATTTGTGGCAACAGTAGTAAAGAATACAAAGGCCCTTCCCTGACTCCCATGTCCACTCCAGACTGTGTTAAGGACCCATTATAATATTCATTATACTTATTACTTAATTTAATGTATGCAGTCTAAGATCTACAGTCAAAGGTTCTGTATTTTTGTGTACCATACACCATTATAATCCAACATGCACACAATTGGTACCTATAAATGTTTGTTGATTGAATGAACAAATTTTTCATTCAACTTTCTCTCAAAATTCGCAATCATTCTCATCTCAATTCACACCTCCCGTAAAGTGCTGTATTACAAAATATTTCTGTAGTAAGGGTCAATTGCTTTATAGCAGTTACTAAAAAGAGGGGAAGGGTGGGATGAATGGAATACATTCAACATGGGGCAGATGTCCTTTTTGTTTTACAAGTCCTTCCTCACTTGCCACTACCCACAATCTGAAATGCCTACTCCATGCCCAATACTCCTAGGGAGCATGAACATGTGTTAGAGAATCACAAAAGATTACTGTACAGAGCCATTATTACTAATGTCACTGGGTCATATTCTTCAAGTATGTTGGATTATAAATAAAGGTTTAAAACAATTGTTCTACTTTTTAAAGAAACAGTTTTCAAACTGCAAAAAAATGCAAATTTATTCACTCTGCAACATTATTATTTCATAATAAAAAGAAACTGACTATATTAAAACTATCTAGTCAGGAAGAGGAAAAGTCAACAAAAAGAACATTTTACTTACATTAATGGGAAAGCAAAAAATGGGAGTGTCATGGCAAGTCTTGCTGTAAGTTCATCGGGAAGGTACCATAAGTATACAATTAAACATGTAAACAGATAGAGAATTGAAGAGTAGAGAATTAATCTTCCAACCCATAATTTTTGTAATCTCTGATTTTTTTCCCTAAATTCTTCCAATGCTTGAATTTCCTGTGAAGAGATAGTTATTATGTATTATTAAATCAAATTCATAAAGAAATTAAAATGGTAAAAAAATTTTTACATGACAGAGAGGTTATAAAGAACTCTTAAAAATTCAATGAAACATAATACCTTAATATTTTAAACAGAACATAATATGAAAAAGAAAATTTTAAATGAAGTCAAAACATATGAAAAATGTCTATTATGATTTGACAAATCTTTTTTAAATTAAAAATTAAGATATTTAAAAATAATGTTTGATAACCTATCAAATTAGCAAAGATCAGAGGTATAAAATTAGCATCAATAGTCTTTGTTAAATCAAACAAGTAATAATTCTCCCTGTATAAGGCCTAAAAAAAAAAAACTGACTATAAAAAGAATAAAAATTGAAACAGTGACCCATACTAGATTCTTTCAATCCATTCATCACTCTCAATATTCTCAAAGAATAACCATTTTTTTATGATAGAAAGTATAAAAAGCTGTGAAGTTTGCAAACTGATACAAATAGTTGCAGACTATTTTATAATCTACTTTGTCCTATCTGTAACATTGATTTACACCATGCTGTAGATCAAATTTCATTCTAACATTCACTATTACCTGACACAGACTTCTTAGGTCACTGATAGACTTTGGATTTTAACATTGAAGTTCTCAGGCTTACTCTATATCACCTCTAAATTCCCATACCAGATCTAGTCTCCAAAGTAATATGTACTAAAATAATATTTATGTAACACCTAAAATGAATTAAAACACCCCAGAGCCAAAGAACATACCTTATCTATATTTTCCAGAACCTCTACAGTTGAAGGTTTTGTCTGTTATAGAAACAGAAATAAGAGACAGCATTAAAACCTGTTATCGCTAACTTAGAAACACTTTGACTTATATAATCATACAAGAACATTTTAATCCAAAATTAAGTTTTTTCAATGTTATTAAGCAATATGTATTCCTGTCTTTTTACAAATGAGATTTAGACTTAAATAAAAATTATAACTATAAACAAAATTACACAAGACTAAAGAAATAAGAAATAAGATGTACCTACTTAACTTAAATTTTTAGTTCTAGAAGTACTTTCAACTCTGATAGCTCAATTTTTACCATCCTTAACCAACCCCAATAGAACATACTTTTACTGAGAGAAAATTTGTTTAAATTTTCCTCCAAGAAAAATTTTCTTAGATATGATTATTCAAAAGAATTCTATTAAGCTATTATAAATTATTAATTCTATAATAATTCTATTAAACTATTATAATTATAAATTCTATTTAAAAATTCAAGACTAAATATGGTCTGATTTACTATTGCTAAAAGTTCACTTAGGACTCTGGAGGTCAAAAATCAATAGGCTACCTTCATTCTGAATTCCTAAAGTACTTTTCTGAATATCAGATTTTTAAACGGCATCTAAGAATACTTCACTATTGCAGAGCTTGTTTGTCAAAGATATTTTTTATATCACCTAGAATAAAAACCAGCCAAAATGCCTCATACAACATTTGAAAAAAGTAATTACCAATTATATACTCAACCATCTAAGAGGGTAATGATTATCAATGCATTGTAGGGCCAACAGGTGTTGTTAATATTAGGTTGAACCATATGCAATTGCTGTTTATGTAGTCAAAACTGGCAGTTTCATATGGTTCAACCTAACAAGAAAGACAAAGGAAGAACAGATAAATTTGATTCTCAGGCAGAACTTTAATAAGGTTTTAAAGGTGGGTGGAGGGTGTCAATGTAATGCCAATCCAAAACAAAGCATCTCCAGCAATAGGTCAAAAACTAAATTGTGTACCAAGTATTGCTAGACTCCATTGTTATGGTAAAAAGGAGTCAAGAAATAAGCAAAGTAGTTGTCCTACACTACATTACCTCCTCTTATATTAGAGAAGAGCATTGACCAGAATATTTTATATTTTACAGCTCTAAATTTGAGATACTTCCTCTAAAGACTTAGCCAATAAAATCAAACTATATTTTTAATTTTGTTTAACCTATTAATTCCTAAAAGTATACCTAGTGTGACTTTAGTAAATATTTGTGACAAGCTTTAAGCAAAAAGATACATCCTATAAAAACATAAATATTGTATAGAATACTTAAATTCAACTATCTTTCAAGTAAGATTGAAATTTAGGCAGTATGAAAACAAGAAAAGATAACCATTTGTACACAAATGTATAAACAGAGAAATAAAAATAATTCATAGGTCAACGTGAAATAATTCTGTTAAACAGAGACATCAGACACCTATATAGCAAGTAGAACCATTAAAGTCCAAATAAAAAAATAATTCATAAGAGAAGAAAGAACAAAAATTAAATAGAGTTAGGGATAATATTAAACTACTCCTCAAGTCTACACCACAAAGGAGACCCTTACAAATAGCTTTATGTGACACTTTTATATTAGACTAAGAACTGGCTGTAAAGAAAAGTAACTTACCCTCCATCGAGAAAATAATCCACCCATTTTTTTATTTGTAGAAACTGGGCACAATGATAAATATCATCAGTTGTCCAAAGGAATTCACAGCTAGAAATAAAGCAATTATTTTTAAAACTTAAGTTAAATATACAGCATATTCACTATAAAATTTAGATGTTGCAATACTACCCAAAAATACTATAAAATATTAATTTATTTGGACTCCACTTATGTGGAATTTTAATTCAAACAGTCTTGCAGACAGCCCACCTTTTAAAAATTCCTTTCTTCCAAGCCAAAACATATTTAAAAGTGAAAATAAAGCTGGAAAGACTTTTTAAGTAGCAAGGCATTTTAAAAGTGTATATTCATACCACTTTGCAATTTTCTGTTCCTTAAAGTAGGTCCCCTATATTGTTCTTCTAAGAAATATTCTGCTGTAGTACATTTCTATCATTCAGCTGTCTTCCAACTAAACTAGTTATTTGGAATTAGGGGTGCTCTACAATGTTTAGAATAATATCACCTTACAATAATAGAAAGCCAACAGGATTTTGAGTAAGAAAATAAGGGTTATAAGGTTACCTGTGACAGTGAGCATATCATTCAATGTTTCTGAGCCATAATTTTCTTTTCTGTATATTAAAGTTAATAATACTACCACTTTTCACAGGATAGCCTTTATTATTACCATTTTACAGACAAGAAAATTAAGTGGAAAGAAGTTTAGTGATTCACCCAATAGCTCAGAAGAAACATTACCCAAAGCCACTCTATCTTCAGACTTCTGGTCTGTTCACTACTGTTCAACACCCAAATAAACATTTCTTTCTGAAATTGTGTCTAAGTCCCTCAAGTTAAACTGTCATGTCAGCTAGTTGTATCTCATATCCCCTTTTTTTAGTTGTTTTTCTATGACTCTTAAATGTATTAAATATTACCATACATATAAAAATGTATCAGCAATATTATATCCTAAATCAATTTACCAGTCAAGTTATATAATTTTTAATTCTTTTAAACTGAAATAGTGAAAGTATATTTTCAAACTTACATAGTTTTACCAGGTTACAGTTATATACTACCAATGTATAAAACTGCTTCATTTCCACCTAAAAAAAGTTAGGCCATAATTCTTACATTTTTTTAAACTCATAAATGTAATCACAAAATAATGCCAGTACAAAGTAAGTACATTCACTCTGCAATACTATTTTTAGGTTGAAATTAGCATCAGGCATGCCTATCTTGAACTTTCTTGGTTAGAGAAGTAACAAAAAGTCTAATTATGAAACACACAAAGTGATTTTTACCAACAGAAATACCTATAATCTGTACTGAAAACTTCTGAAGTTTATAAATGTAATCAATGTTATAAGCCACATTTAAGTTGCAATCTAAATATTATTAATCCTTCAATAGTAAATCAGTATTCAAATTTCTAAAGTGTGGTTGTAGGAAATCCAGGAACTTTAATGAATAAAAGTATAAATTTCTGAGTTAAGACATTAAATAGATCTTAAAACCTTAAGATGCTAAAAATCACCAAGAAAGGTGGCTGGGAAGGGAAGATTCAGATGAACCACTTAACTTGTATATTTTCTTTTTTTTTTTTTTTCCTGTATGCGGGCCTCTCACTGCTGTGGCCTCTCCCATTGCGGAGCACAGGCTCCGGACGCGCAGGCTCAGCGGCCATGGCCCACGGGCCCAGCCGCTCCGCGGCATGTGGGATCTTCCCGGACCGGGGCATGAACCCGTGTCCCCTGCATTGGCAGGCGGACTCTCAACCACTGCGCCACCAGGGAAGCCCTGTATATTCTCAAAGTATACATTATCCCATGTATACGATGAATGCATGTGCTATACACCACTATGTATGGTGTATAGCACAGTGTTTTGTACACAACTGACCTACACATTTTGGTTTGAAACAGTTTATAGCTCACAAATCAGAATTTTTAATATTTGAAAGTAATAACAATAATATCATTTAAACACTTGGAAAGGACTTAATCTTCTAGCAGGCCCTAAAACAAATGCTTTTCATGAATTTTATCATTTAGATACTACCATCACTCTATTTTACAAATGGCAAAACTGAGTCTACAGAAGTGAAGTAATTTGCTAAGTTCCCAAAGACAGTAAGTAACAGAGCCAGACCCAGTATTTTAGTTTTGATTTTTTAAAAAGCAACAAGTTAGCGGTAGTGGCTTAAGAGATAAAACTACTATGTATAAAACAAATAAGTTAGAAGGATATATTGTACAGCACAGGGAATATAGCCAACATTTATAACTATAAATGGAGTATAATCTTTAAAAATTGTAAATCACTATGTTATACACCTGAAACTTATATGATATTGTAAATCAATTATAGCTCAATAAAAAAGGCAAAAAAAAGCAACAAGTTACTTCTAATAACTCAAAATCAGAAATTAAGTCTTTCTGTAGATTAGATTGGAATATTTATATATAAAACATATAAAAGCACCTCAGACATTCTCAAATAGCTGGTAAACAGAGCTACTGAAGTGGAAAGTTATAAACATAAGACACAGGGTTAGTACAGTTTATCATGTAGCCCAATTCCTTCATTTGCTTAAATCTGAATGCTTAAATCTGCATGGAAGAGAAGCTAAATGACATGCCAAAATCATGCAGGTCCAGCTAGGGGCAGAACTGGTGCTAGAAGTCTGCAAGTACTGCCTCTACTTGTTTACTGCACTTTTAAAATTCATGTAATATGAAATGTATGCATAATATTACAATTAATACCAACTTTGACATCAATTATTTGCTTGGAGAATTGTTTTGATGTTAATGAAACAAATTACATAAGATCCCTGAAGCAGAGAACTGTGCTTCTAAATTTGTCCTCTAGAACAACACACTATGGTAATAGTCATTAAATGCCATATTCATCCTTTCAGGTTCATAATCAAAAAGCCAATCAACCCTCATTGTCCCAACTTTTTTTCTATCAAATTCTGGTATTTGTTAGGGAAGCCTGATTTACTATAATACACATGTATAAGTAGTACTTTCCAACAGATACGAAAGCATAACAAAATTAAATAAATCAACTATTTCTCTACAACTTTAATTTCATACCTCTTCTATTTCCAAACACTTTTTCCCTCCTTGCCACCTGAACATCTTAACTCCAATTCCTGTGGCCCATTACTACGAAACCTTGGGCAAATAAATAAATTAACCTCTCAAGTTACTCATTATCTTCATCTGCAAAAGAGCGATAGTTAAGAACCCTCTCAAATGTTGAAAAGCTTAAACAACATAATGTATTCTAAAGTACTTACAACAGTGCCTGACACATACTAATTTCTCAATACAAATGGTTCTTTTTACTGCTGTGGTTGCTGCCCTTTTCTAGTCCATCTCTGCTTCCTTTCAACACATGGAAAATACATGGGAATCAAATAACTAGCATTTCTTTCTGAAGCATAAATCAATTTGCTTGCTCTTGAGTGGACAGATGGTTCAATCTCAAGTGGCCTGTTCCAAGAAATCTTCCGTGAACGTGTATAAAGAGTCTCTTTCCACTCTGCTATCACTATGGGACCTGACATGACCTTAAGAGCTGGGTGCATCTAATGTGTTTTTCACTAAATAATAACACCCACCATATTATTTGAATGTTTTCTATTAACTGCTATTCACACTCAGGTTTAGGTGTCAGAATTTGAAATCTTGGGATGTGTTATTCTTAAATTTTGAGCTTACTTCAAGTCATATTGAAATAATGGAATAAAAAAGGTCTTGATTCAAAATATGACTCAACCACATACTAGCTACGTGATCTTGTATAAACTAAACTCTCTAAGCCTCAGTTCAGCATTTGTAAAGCGGTGAAAATATCTACATCTACGCTTCACAGAATTGCTGCATGAGTTAAATGAAATTATATATCACTTGGTAATGAAATAATAAGTGTATAATAAATTATAGACATTATTACTACTATTACCAGAAAGCACATGTAGTACGGCAATACTTCTCATATGGAACACATTTCTTTCTAACTTCTTATAAAGAAACTGTTTCATAATTTGAAAATTGGAAAATAAAGTTAGTTTGTATTTTAACTGAAATTGTATTGCTCTCATTTTCTCCAGTATAAAAAATAAAACAAAATACTCTGAAGACTCTTACATTAAAATAAACTTTAACAGCAAAGGAAGTTTAGTTTTATGTTTATCAAGTTCCAAACTTAAGTAGAAACTATTGTCACCATCAACAGTACCTCTATAACACACTGGACAATTCAATTTGAGATTAAAAGTGTTTGTTCTATAACTCTAACTTTCAAATATCCTAACAGAAAAGACAATTCTGAAATATTCCAAACTACCACATTTACTGCTCAAAAATAAAATTACTGAAAAGAAGTACATCTCTAAAAGCACTTTTATTATACAACGATTAAGTTCTGGTCTTCATGGTAAGTCAATGCTCATTCTGAACTAAATACTACCCAAAAATGACTATTTGATTGTAAAGATTTCTCCTATAAATCATACCTGTTGTAAGCCATATAATTTCTTCCTTTTTTTATTCTTTCAAGTTAATAATATGTAAACACTAAGGTTTTTAACAGCAATGGGTTGATGCCAGTAGATGACGGAGAAACTTGAAATTCTAATTTTAAATGTTTAAAAAAATGTGTTGAAAATCAACTTAGTCCTCCTAAAATGAAACTACGGGGGCTGTTGAAGACAAGAGATTAGCATTCCCTGCCAGTTTGAACATATGCCTAAAACCAAGTTTACTCACATCCACACAAGCTGTTGAATTTTGTGTGGTGACAATTTTGTCAATGGTGACACCCAGGCCACTGAGAAAGGAGAAGAAAGTCGACACTAGGCACCACAAACCAGAAGCCTACTGGGAAAAGCGGAACATGGAAAATTCAGTGAGTCACAAATTTTACTTAGTAGAGTGAGGGCACCATCAGCAAAACTGCGTGCACCAATCCCAACTCTCTCTCAATCCCCTTACACTGTATTCAAGAATTAAAACTATGATGTAGTTTAGATTTGCTCTTCTCCTTCTGCCATGCCTATGACACCCACGCAATCTGGCCCTTCCCTCCACCCCACCATTGCTCAAAAAAGGACTACAGCCGAAGAGAGGCTTCTCTAAGCAGCATACAATCCACGCCCACACGCCTGGGCCGAGAAGCGTGACACTGACAGTTTTCGGTCCCTCCCGATCTCACCAACTCGTGGTGCCTCCGCACAACTCAGCAAAAGACGACAAGGGTAGAACCCACTCAAAGCGATGGCTTAGTGCAAGACTTTCTGACCCTTCGACCGAACAGGGAGGTGGGCCAAAGAGACGATGCTCAGCTCAACCCAGTCACTGCCCCCCTTCCCCGCCCCGAATCTCCAAGAAAAGGCTGGGGAACCAACTCCCCTCGGGAAACAGAAAGGGGTCTCCAGCACTCCAGAGCCACCCCTGCCACTGTGCTGGGAAACCAAGGGGATCAGGGGGCGAGAAAGGATCAGCACGCAGCCGGGCAGGAGCTCAACTAGCCGCCGCCGCAGAGCTCGTAGGCCACTCGGCATGGGGCGGAGGCGCCCGGGAGAGGCAAGCGGGGGAACCCGAAGCGTATTTCCCAGGGAAAAGCTCAGCGCATCTCCCCTCTGCCGAACCCTTCCAACGGCCCTCATTTTGACCCCTCTACCTTCAAGTAGAAGCGGGCAAAGCCCGGCGCTGGCGCCCAGCTCTGCCAGCTTCGGCCGCCACAGCGCAGCCCGCCTCCGGAGCAGGCAGCAGCCGCCACTGACAGAGCGATGGGCTCAGCCAACTTCCCATCAAACCCCGCGCTCCCGCCGCCGGCCAATCGGCGCCGCAGCCGGCGCGCGGCGCTCCCCCGTCACGTAACCGTGACCGGGGCGGGCAGCTGAGGGGCGAGGCCGGCGGTTGGCCCGAGGACTTCTGTCTCTGTGGCTTCCGCGGCAAAATAGGGTGCTCGTCTTCGCGTCTCACAGGTGGACTGTCATTTATTATGACTCTTTAACAGTACAGTTACTTCTTACTCCTCCTCTGCCTCCTTCTTTTCTTTTAGAGCCCGTTCTGCCAAGTCTTACAGGCGAAAGAAAACCCCGAAATTGGTCCTGATGGTCCTAGACTGCCGCGGGAGAGAAGAGTGCGCTTGGGTGATGGATGCACCTGGAAAGGAGTCCGCCCTGAAGAGTGCCCGACCAGCTGCCATCCAGCCGGCAGCAGAGCGAGTTAATGCTACACCGATTAAAAGAGACGGGTTCCCAAACAAGCCAGTGGAGAAATTCAGCCTAGACTCCAGGAGTGCTTGAGGCTTTTATGACTCTTGGACGCCAAAAAGGGTCATTTGATATCTGGGCGCTTACCATTGTGTGGTAAACGTCGAATGTCCAAGGATGTTGATTTCAAACTTGTGGATAACAACATAAGCTGAGTTTTCTATCTCTTACCTTAAGAACACTCCCTTCACAGGTCCTGGTACTAGGCCCACGAATAAACCACCTAGGTTTTATTTGCCTCAGATTTGAAACATTGGCTAAAGAGTGTTAAATCTCCTAGTCAACTGGGAATGACAAGTCTAAATAACAAATGGTACTTGAACCACACAAGGTAATGTTGGAGAAGGGTAGAGAAACCTCAGTAAAAGCTTTTGTCCCATTTTACCCCTGTGTGCAAACATTTTTCTATTTTATTTAGTTACATACACATTTTAAAATAATGAAAAGTGTCCATAGTATTTAAAGAGTATAATCGTTTTAATATGCTACGTTTAAACTTTGACAACCAAACAGGTAAAGTAAGAAAAGAAAGTGAGCATAGTATCTAGTTGGTAAGAATAATTTATTATACTGGAAGCTACCAGATAATTCACTGTAGAGTTGCTTAACTGCTAAAATCTTTAGTTATAGCTTTGTAAACTTGAAAAGAAGGGAAGGGAACCAAAGTTTTTTCTGGTACTCTGGGTCAGACACTTTACAAATCTAAAAGAAAATGAAAAGAAACATTTCACCTATTCTGGTATGGAAATTTAATCATTTTGTTTTTTCAGCCTTTGCTTTTTCAAAGTTGTTGTTTTTTTTAAAAAAAAAAAAAAAAAGGCCTGTGCAAGACTTAAAGGCCAAACTAATGGTTACCAGGGGGAAGGGTTGGGGGGGGGAGGGATAGCTAGGGAGTTTGGGATTGACATGTACACACTGCTATATTTAAAATGGATAACCAACAAGGACCTACTGTATAGCACAGGGAACTCTGCTCAATATTATATAACAACCTAAATGTGAAAAGAATTTGAAAAAGATACATGTATATGTTAAAAAAAAAAAAAAAGGCCTGTGCAGTTTTGCAGATGAATCTCCTCACCTCAGGACAATCTCTTTTCCTAAGAGAACAAGGAAGAAATGTTTTCTACTTGCTAATGATTTGTTCTCTAGTTTTTTGGGGTTTTAAAATACTTATTTATTTGGTTGCACCAGATCTTAGTTGCGGCTCACAGCCTCCTTAGTTACAGCACGCAGGCTCCTTATTTGCGGCATGCATGAGAGATCTAGTTCCCTGACCAGGGATCAAACCCAGGCCCCCTGCATTGGGAGTGCAGAGTCTTATCCACTGTGCCACCAGGGAAGTCCCTGTTCTCTAGTTTTAATTGAGCCATCAAGATCTACTGTAAAGGGGACAAAAACAGGAGAGGGAAACAGGAAAGAGCTAACTGGGTGCAAGAGATTCCAAAAACCTAACCCTGAGACAAAATTCCCTAGGTAATTGATCTACAAGAGAAGAGATTTGGCCTGGCAAGGGGAGAGAGAAGAGTATTAAATAATTAACTTTTTTAATCCTCCCAGCAACGTTTTAAGGTATCAGTATTCAAATGAAGAAACTGAAAAGTAGAAAAATTATACATATATCGTTGAAGGTAATGCTAACACTGCCTCTACCAAGTGGTAAGAGTTTGTAGGCACAGTGAGGGAAGACATTAGAAGCAGAGAAATCAGCATATGCACTATATGGCTGTACTACAAGCTACAACGGTCATTCCAAATATTTACTGAGGACAAGACCCTGTGTTAAGTGCTAGGGATACAGAGATAAGTAAAACAGCTGTCCTAAAGCAACTGATGCTAGTGAGAGAAACCTTCAAGAAAACAACAACAACAAAAATACAATATAAGGTAAATAAGTGTTGTGATAGAGGCAAATTTCAAAAGATTGGAAAATCATTAGGCAACAAGAGCCAGAGGGGATGTGGGAAAGCCAATGAAGGTGGTTCTTCAGTTGAGTCCAAATATTCACCCTAAAAATTGTTCTGGAATAGGTTCTAAGGAAGTGAAATCAAATGAGAGAAGATGAGCAAGGAAACAAACTATTCTAGGCAAAGGAATTCAAAAATATCTAATTCAACAAATAAGTGAGCCACATTTATTTAGATAAATAAATGAAAGTTGCAAGAGATAGGTGCTCTGAGAGCTTACATTAGGGTCACTCACTGATCTGGTCAGAAAAGTTAGGTAAGGCATGCTTGAGGAGGTCTCCTGGAAGAGAGATCTGAAGGCTGAGAGACAAGAAAGGAGGAAAGGAAACAGGGAACATCGTGTATTTTGTCAGGAGTGAACAGTGCAAACCCGAGGGACTGAAAGGAGGCCATTGTGGCTAGAGCATAGTTTGCAGGGAGACCAAACTAAGCAGGACTTGGTTGGCCATACTGAGAACCTTCATCTTTTTCTTCAGAGCAAAGTGGGGAAGGGATATGACCTGATCAGATCTGTGTTTTGAAAAGATCATTCCAGATGCAGTGTGGGAACATGAACAGGATCAGCCTTGGACCAGTTAGGACCTATGGGTCATGGTTAGCGTTGGTAGTAAGTAGTTCAAGTGGACTGGGATGGGCACAAGGAGATGGAGACGAGTGCAGAAAATGGAACGATTTAGGAAGTGAAATAGGAGGTCTTGGGAATGGATTTAGATAAGGCAGAGTGGAATGAATGGGGATTGAGGGAGAGGAAGGAGTCAGAAATGATGGGATTTCTGGCAGGCCCAGTGGGTGGATAACAATGCTCACTGAGGTGTGGGGAACACTGAAGGAGAGTCGGATTTGGGGGAAGATGATGATTTCAATTGAAACATGTTGAGTCTCAGATGTTTTCGGGACTTCAAGGAGAGATGTCATGTAAACATCTATGGGTCTGCAGCACTGAGGAGAAGTCTGGGCCAGAGAAAAAGTATTTTACGGTTTGTAATATGTTCTTTTCCACAAGGTGCTTATTTTTTCAAAATGCAAATATTATAAATATTGTGGAAAAACGAAAGAAAAAGAAGTCTCTAGAGCTGTTTCCCAAACTTCCTTTCAAATTACCTGGGGACTTCATTTTGAAGAAAACAAGTTCTCAGGCTTATACCCTATAGATTCTGATTATGCATGTCTAGTATGAAGCCTCAAAATTTGGATTTTTTAACAAGTGCCACCGGTGATTCTTCCTCTCAGTGATTTTCTCTGGGCAATGGTACTCCAGTGCCAGAGGCCCCCTGCATGAGAGTTATCCTAAGTGCTTATTAAAATATAGACTCTTGGGCCCTGCAGACTAAAATCTCTAGGGATGGGAGGACTGGAGAAAGGAAGATGGTACAGTACCAGGTTGTCCAAGATTTCACCATCTATGGCAGAGGTGTCCTAGGCCCTCCACCAGGCAGTTCAGAGGAGAGCTGGTGTCCTTTGTTGTATGATGCAAATGTAGGCAGCAGGCAGCCCTGGCAGGCTGGTATGATAACAGCTTTCCTGGCTTCTAGCCCAGGCCTCCCGCCCTGTCCATTGAAATGGTGCTCAGCCTATTCCGATGCTCTCTTTTTCTGCCACTCCTATCAAACCTCATCCTTCCCTTCCAGGGGAAGGTGTTGTGCGTGTCATGCTCCATATACCCCTCCCAGTTCAGAGGTTTCTTTTAGCTAATCTGGCCAGGGTTGGGAGAGAAATACGTTCAAATGCTATGTTTCACTCTCAGCAAAGTTTTTTTTATTCTCAAGAACCTACTTTGTAAGCGTTTTGTTTTTAAAGACTGAATTGTTAGTGTCACTGTAACATCTCTATTTCTCTGTGAGGTACTGTAGATGTAGAGGAAGAATCAGAAAGTATGGGGGGAAAAGAGAAGATTAGAATTTTTTTTTTTTTTTGGCTGTGCCGCGTGGCATGCGGGGTATTAGTTCCCTTACCAGGGATCGAACCCACACTCCACACTCTCTGCAGTGGAAGTGTGGAGCCTCAACCACTGGACGGCCAGGGAAGCCTCTAAAAATATTTTTTGTGATGGGAACTACAGCAAACACACAGAATAGTTCATGAAACAGAATATAACCTAAACACTCATGTAACCCCCACTGGGTCAGAAAGTAGAACATTATCAACATCCCAAAAGGCCCCAAAGTGCCCCTTCCCTTATAACCCCCAAGTACCTAGGGTTAATAACCACTGTCATGATTATTAACATATTCACTTTCTTGTTTTTCTTTATAGTTTTATCGACTAATTACTCAAACAATATAGCTTATGCCTGTCTTTCAACTCTATGTAAATAGAATCATAGAGTAAGGTTTTTTTCACGTCTTGAATATTTTTAATCAAAGTTAAGATTCATCCATGTGGATGTCGCTATAGATTTTTATTAAAATTTCTTTAACTGTATGTATTAATTTCAGGGAGAATAATATCCTTCCACATGAGCCTTCCCTTTCTGGAATGTTGTATAACTCTACATTTGTTCAAGTGTCCTCACGTATTTTCCAAAAATTTTTTTCATTTTCATCAT